TTGTGAGGATTTTTGTTTTGTTTATGTTGAGGTGTGATCCATACTGAAGGCTGTGGTCTTTGATCTTCATCAGTAAGTGCTTCAAGTCCTCTTCACTTTCAGCAAGCAGGGTTGTGTCATCTGCATATTGCAGGTTGTTAATGAATCTTCCTCCAATCCTGATGCTGCATTCTTCTTCATATAGTCCAGCTTCTCAGATTATTTGCTTAGCATACAGACTGAATAAGTATGGTAATAGCATACAAGCCTGACACACACCTTTTCTGATTTTAAACCATGCAGTATCCTATTGTTCTGTTCGAATGACTGCCTCTTGGTCTATGTACAGGTTCCACATGAGTTAAATGTTCTGAAATTCCCATTCCTTGCAGTGTTATCCATAATTTGTTATGCTCCACACAATTGAATGCCTTTGCATAGTCAATAAAACACAGGTGAAAATCTTTCTGGTATTCTCTGCTCTCAGCGAAGATCCATCTGACATCATCAGTGATAGCCCTGGTTCCACATCCTCTTGTGAATCTGGCTTGAATTTCTGGCAGTTCCCTGTCAGTGTTCTGCTACAACCATTTTTGAATTATCTTCAGCCAGATTTTACTTGTGTGTGATACTAATCATATTGTTCGATAATTTCTGCATTCTGTTGAATCACCTTTCTTTGGAATGGGCACAAATATGGATCTCTTCCAGTCGGTTGGCGAGTAGCTTTCTTCCAGATTTCTTGGCATGGACGAGTGAGTGCTTCCAGCATTGCATCTGTTCGTTGAAACATCTCAGTTGGTATTCAGTCGGTTCCTGGAGCCTTGTGTTCCGCCAGTGCCTTCAGTGCAGCTTGGACTTCTTCCTTCAATACCATAGGTTTTTGATCCTATGCTACCTCCTGAAATGGTTGAACGTCCACTAATTCTTTTTGTGCAGTGACTCTGTGTATTCCTTCCATCTCTTTTTGATGCTTCCTGCATTGTTCAATATTTTACCCTTAGAATCCTTCAGTATTGCCACTCGAGGCTTGAAGTTTTTCTTTAGTTCTTTCAACTTGAGAAATGCCGAGGATGTTCTTCTCGTATGGTTTTCTAACTCCAGGTCTTTGCACATTTCATTAGAATACTTTGTCTCCTCGAGCTGCGCTTTGAAATCTTCTGTTCACTTCTTCTATTTCATTGTCTCTTCCATTCGCTTTAGCTGCTCTGTGTTCAAGAGCAAGTTTCAGAGTCTCTTCTGACATCCATTTTCTTTCTTTCCTGCCTTTTTAATGACCTTTTTTTCTTCATGTATAATGTCCTTGTCATCCCACAACTCATCTGGTCTTTGGTCTTTAGTGTTCAGTAGGTCAAATCTATCCTTCAGATGGTCTCTAAATTCAGGTGGGATATACTCCAGGTCAGACTTTGGCTCTCATTGACTTGTTTTAATTTTCTTCAGCTGCGACTTAAACCTGCATAGGAGCAATTGGTAGTCTGTTCCACAGTTGGCCTCTGGCCTTGTTCTGACTGATGATATTGATGAGCTTCGCCATCATTTCTTTCCACAGATGTAGTCAGTCTGTTTCCTGTGTATTCCTTCTAGTGAAGTCCATGTGTATAGTCACTGTTTATGTTGTTTAAAAAAAGATATTTCCAACAAATAGGTCAATAGCCTTGCAAAATTCTATCACATGATCTCCAGTGCCATTTCTATTTTGTATATATGGAATCACACAATATGTGGCCTTTTGTGTTTGGCTTCTTTCACTGAGCATAATATTTTCAAGGTTCATCCGTGTTGTAGCATATATCAGTACTTCATAATTTTTTATGGCTGAATAATATCCCTTTGTATGATACAGCACATTATGTTTATCCATTCATCTGTTGAAAGACATTTGGGTTATTTCTACTTTTTGAGTGTATGAATAGTGCTTCTATGAATATTCGTATACCAGTTTTTATGTGGACATATGTTTTCCAGTTCTCTTGGTTGGAATTCCCTAGAAGTATAAAGGAATAATTTCTTTTATAAGTATCAGCACAAAGCTGGTTCCTATGAGGAGGAGGTTAAAGATGTCCCAAATATCTAACTTTTCCAAGCTGCTGTACCATTCCATCATCTGTAATATGAACTACTCCCCCTTGCCTTAGTACTCTTCCTCCTATCTTTGGGTTCCCTAATTCACTGCAACATCTCGCAGAACTCATGAACCATATAAAGGAAATGGCTCATAAAATTGTGAAGTCTGGCAAGTCCCAAATTTGTAGGTCAGGCGTAGACTTCTCCCTGGCCCTCAGTCTCTGCCCAAAGGCACTCAGCTTTCTTGCGCCCATGGACCAGGAAGCCCACTGCGCCGTCTCCTGCGAGTCTCTACTGCAGGTGTCTCCCTCTTTGGTGGTGGTGGTGGGCTCTCCTCTCTGCTCTGGAATTGGCTCTCTTTTAAGGCAAAACTGACCAATCCCCTTGGTGGGCCACAATTATCTTATTTGCATAGCCCCACCCAATCACCTGAATGGGAGTCACAAGACTATGGCTAGAAAGGCCACACACAAAAATAATTGTGCTGCAAAGTGGAATTGCTGGACCATTTGATAACTCTGCATTTGACTTTTTTTTTTTTTGTACTTTAGGTGAAGGTTTACAGAATAAATAGTTTCTCATTAAAAAGTCAGTACACATTGTTTTATGACATTGGTTAACAACCCCATGACATGTCAACACTCTCCCTTCTCCACCTTTTTTTTTTGGTGAAAATATACATAGCCAAAGATACACCATTTCAAAAATTTCTACATGCGCAATTCAGTGACATCGATTACGTTCTTCCAGTTGTGCTGCTGTTCTTGCTTTAGATGAAGGTTTACGGAACAAAATAGTTTCTCATTAAAAGGTTAGTACACATGTTGCCCTATGACAATGGTTAACAACCTCACCACATGTCAACGCTGTCCTTACTCAATCTTGGGTTCCCTATTCTGCATTTAACTTTTTAAGAAACTGTCAAACTGTTTTCCAAAGCGGCTGCACCATTTTATAGTCCCATCAACAATGGATGAGGGTTGCAGTTTCTCCACATCCTTACCAACACTTGTTATTTTAGCCTTTTTGATTATAGCCTTCCTAGTAGGTGTGAAGTGCTCTTTTGTGGTTTTGATTTGCATCTCCCTAGTGACTAGTAATGTTGGTGATGTTGAGCCTCTTATGTGCTTATTGGCTGTTTGTGTATTTTTGGAGACATGTCTATTCAAATCATTTGCCCATTTTTTAATTGTGTTGTCTTTATTGTTGAGTTGTAAGAGTTCTTTATGTATTCTGGATACTAGACCCTCATCAGATATATAATTTGCAAATGTTTTCTGCCATTTTGTGGGTTGTCTTTACAGTTTCTTGACAGTATCCTTTGAAGCATGAACATTTTTTAAATTTCATGATGTCGAGTTTATTTTTTCTTCGGTGGATTATGTTTTTGTTGTCATATTTAAGAAACCATTGCCTAATATGAGGTTATGAAGATTTACACCTATGATTTTTTTTTTTTTTAAACAATGATAACATTTATTGTGTTCATGAAACTGCATTTTGGGCAGGCACAGAAGGGATAGTTTGTATCCGTTCTACACAGGGTCATCTGTGGTGGTTCAAAGCCTAGGAGCTGGAATCTTCTGAAGGTTTGCTCACTCACATGGTCTGACATTTGATGCTGGCTGTTGACTTGGGGTCTCAGTTCCTCTCCTTGTGGACCTGTCCATGTGCTCTCTCTGTGTGTTAGTTTGGGTTTCAAATAAAGAGACACATAGGGTGAGGTCTGAGTTGGTTCCCAGTCGGGGCTTCCGTGCACCAAAAGAGGACGTGCTACCCTTCCACGTGCTCTGTGTGTTTCACCAACTAGGAAGCCCCACACGTGATTTTTTAAATAAGAGTTTTATAGTCTTAGTGCTTACATTTAAGTTCAGTATTGAGTTTAACTTCAATATTAGTCTTAGCTTCACCCTAAAACCATTTTGGACTGGTGGGCATCAATGCTACAGTGTAATTTTGGCTTTCTGAAATTTGATTGAAGGTTTTTTTGTTTGTTTGTTTTTATTTAGTTTATTTAAATCAACCCACCTTTAAACTCAGAACTAGAGCGATAAGTAAATTTCCCAGTACAGTAGCACTTGATAAGTTGCTGAACACAGTATAGAATTCAAGGAAGGAGTTATTTAAATGTTTTGTGATAAAGAAGTTAGCTTGGGCAAACTTGGGTGGGAAGGTACAGAAGAGTAGTCACTTTTAAACCTTGAATTAGCTGAGATTGAATACAGACTTCTGGGGGGAGAATATTGTGTTTTGTTAAGAACAAAGAGAATGTATATAATCATTGGTCGCTCTTAAGATTTGAGATGAAACAAAATAGCTGGAAAAAAGCCCCTTTGCAATCTTTTCATATTCTCTTAAAGTACTGTATATACCAAAACTTTGCCAACTCTGCCTGTCCCGCTTAGGAGAGGGATGGAGAAAATCAACAGATGGGCTTACTCTTTAGCTCTGCCTTCACAGGGAGGCAGGGTATGTTGTGGTGAAAACCACAGTCAGACTTGGGTCTTAATCTCAGTTAAATTACATACTAGCTGTGTGATTTGGGGCAAATTACTTAATCTTTTTAAGTATTGGTTTCCTCATTTGTAAAACAGGGATTTTGAGAGTGTCTACCTCACAGGATTGTTGGGAGTGTTAAATGAGAGATCAAATGCAAGGTACTTAGCATACTGTCTGCCATAATATACACTTAATAATGACTTTTATTATTACTTATTCTGGGTTAATGACTATTTGTAATATTTGGTTCACTAAATTTGACAGAAATAAGACTCTGTCTTTTTCCTTCTCTCATCTCAGTTTCCCTGTTTCTCAGTCCAGCTAACATTTTAGCCCTGAGTTGAAATATAGCCTTTAAAAAAGTATTAGTTTATTTCTTTTTATGAAATGAATTATAGTTATTAGCTTGCTGTGCTATGTTATACTTAATTCTTGTTTCCTTTCTTTGCATAAAGCTGGAACTGGTGTACATGTGGTCATGCTTCAGGAATCCGAAGTTTATTATGACAGTTTAAGCCAACAATTCTGTTATAAAAATGTGCTTGTCCCAAAGTGGTATGATATATGGACACGGATACAGGTAAGAACCTGGAGGCCTTGGCAAGAGCAGCTTCTGTAAATATCTTGTCTGTCTGTAATTAGTGAGTATGTGGACACATTTTTCTCCCTCACACATAATAAAAAATGTATTACTAACAACCTTGTTAGGGTTGAGATTATCCTGGGTTGTATTTGTATCAACAAGCACTTTATGCCTACTTAGTGTTGCTCTTTCTTTGCTCCCTGAACTACTTACAGTACTCTGAATTCCTCAGCAGACCCTATGGTAAACTTCCTTCCTCCTTCCTCCCTAGGAAACTGCTTTCTTCTCTCCCTCCTTGACTTTTTCCAGCACAGCACACCCTCTCTCCTCTCTTTCAAGGCCTTATGCCTTCTTTGGGCTGGAAACTGTTGGGCGCCTATCAGGATGTAAACTCCTTTGACTTGCTGTTCCTATTCTATTCTGATTCTACGCAAGATGTTTCATAAACCCCCTGAGCTGAAGCTATCCCTTAATAGAATGATTTTGGTCTCACTTATTTCATAACACTGTTAAGTTACCTGGACAGCGGGTGTCTGATTCTGATAGTGATTGAACAAAATGAGTCCTTCGGAAACTGTTGCTGCTGCTGTAAGCACAGCTACTGACAAGGGCATTTGTTGTTCACATCGAGAATATATGAGTGGGTTTATAGGTTTTTTTTGTTGTCTGATAGAAAAATCATACTCCATCTGGGGCACATTATAACCATAGTCAGTAATTTGTGAGAACGGGTTGAGCTTCTCAGCCTGTTATTATGGGAAACATTTTCTGTTTTCTGGGACTGTTTATGCTTGGCAATTTTCTTAATATTCTAGACCCTCGCTTTGTATGATTTCTCATAAATACTGTATTGATAATTCTTTCAGCTGGGAAGTCCCCACCCCCACCCCATGCTTTGGCCAAATAGTCGTTCTAGCTCCTGTTAACAAGACATTTCTAACACCTGCCTCTCTGTACCATGTGCAGTGTTATTTGCGCAATTATGTTTTAGCCGTTGCATCTCTGTATATCTGTTAAGCCTTGTGAAAGACTGGCGCTAACACTGATTTAGCTCTTCACTCCATAGGTTTTTTTTAAAGATTGTATTTGTGGAAATTTAAAATTCCTACTTGCTTCTTTCTCTTGCCAACGTTACTTGTCTTTATAGATCTGGGTAAATAGTTCCAAATTGATACGAGTCACCCAGGTGGAGAATGAGGAGAAGCTGAAGGAACTGGAGCAGTTTAGTATCTGGAACTTTTTTTCCTCCTTTTTGAAAGAGAAACTGAATGACACCTATGTTAATGTGGGTCTATACAGCACAAAAACCTGCCTCAGAGTTGAGATTATCGAGAAGGATACCAGCTACAGTGTCATTGTGACCCGGAGTAAGTTTCACCTCTATTTTTCTGATGGATTCTGTAGTGAGAAGGGACTGAGCTTTGGAGGGTATAATTAGTGAGAGAGAAGTCAGCCCAAGACAGCTCCATTTTGGTTCTGATTATAACCCTGAGTATACCACTGCTCCATACAGTTCAGGGAGACTTCACCCCGTATAAGACTCTATAGGTCTTGAATTGAGACTTCCCTTCAGATCATTCTGAGTACTTCCTTACCTAGAATTGTGAAGACTTACATTCCTGGTACTGCCAGTGTGCCTCATGGTTTTGAGAGTAAATTAGACAAATGTGTTCCTGCCTTCTGGGCATTTCCAGACAAAGGTAGATGTCCTGAAATGTACAGGTCTACATTTGAAGATTTGAATGGTTAAACAATAAAAACTGAAGAAAGGTAAAATTGAATATTAATACTTCACAAAGAAAAAGAGTACTTGTGGGCCTGTAAATAAAGAGAAAGTCCACTGCAGCTTAGATTTATTCAGTGGGACTGGGAGAAGTTTACCCTTCTCTGAACATTTCTGAGAAACTTTCACAAGGAGGCAGATTATTGTCCTGTTGAATTCTCTCTGACTTTTGGCTTCTCCTGGGTTACTACCCAGGGTCCTCGGATGTTGTGAGTAGTAGGAACATTTCTAGGTTTTGCAGTGAAATAGGTTATGCCCTTCAAATTGTCCTAAGAGTCCAAAGTTATTTGGTACAAAGGATTGGCCTGTTTTTTTGGTGTTCTTTCTACATTCACTGATCCCTCTTGCTCCAGTTCTGTTTCTGGGCCTCCCCAAGACTCCAGAGCTCTTGAATGTGAAAACTGTGGGAGTGTCTGGTATGCCACTGAGGGGCCCCTACTTGGGCCCCTGGTACTGAGTGAGATGTATATGAGTGTAGGCTTTTCCAGCACAGGCTTGTACAGCAAAGGGAAGTAGGTGGTATTGTTGGACAAGGAAAGTAGCCAGTTAGTGAACAACAGAGGGCCCTGACTCAAGGTCTAGCCAAAGCTGCTGAATTCTGTGCCTGTGAGCGACTAAAGGCTTGAAAGTCTGAGTGGTGGAGACCCCTTGTGGATGATTGCAAGAAGTGCTGATAGCACCATGCCTGACTCCGTCCAAAGTGAGGCTTAGTTTCTTTTAGCCTTAGCATAGGTAGCCAAAACTAAAATAAGCTCTTCAGGAAAGTACAGGTTAGACAGAGACCTAATTACACTTTCTCTTTGGAGGGGGGCCCAGGCTTTGTGCGGCATTTACATTGCTCTTTAGGTGTGCTTTTTGCATTTATCTTATTGTAGCTGACCAATAACACCGACATTGGCCTTTTATTCTATAGTGCCTTAAACTGTTTGGTTCTCCTATTAAACGGAAGTCTTTATTTATTTCAGGATTTGACCCCAAACTCTTCCTTGTTTTCTTCCTGGGACTTATGCTATTTTTTTGTGGAGACGTGCTGAGCAGGTAGGTTCCAAGGCTAGTGTACAGTATTTGGAGGCCAGGCCCACCCTGCTTGACTTTGATCATAAAAACGCTAAGTGCTGCCATTCCCTAGTCCAGGACCTTTATGGGTAGGCCATTGTCTGCTTGGAGATTTTTTTTCACTACTTTAATATGTTATGGTTTTTGTTTTTCTTGTAATTAAGATTGGCAATAATGAAATTCCCCCATTAGATTAACCCATCATGTGATGGGATTTAGCCAGTACTATGAAGTTGAACATCGCCACCTGTTATGGATTGAACTGTGTTCCCCAAAAATGTGTGTCAACTTGGCTAGCCGTGATTACCAGTATTATGTGGTTGTCCTCCATTTTGTGATCTGATATAGTTTTCCTATGTGTTGTAAGTCTTAATCTCTGCATGTGGTTAATGAGGCAAGAGTAGGTTATATTAAAGAGGATTAGAGTGGGATGCAGCACCGTTACTCAGGTCACAGCCCTGACCCAATGTAAGAGGAGTTTCCCTAGGATGTGGCCTGCATCACCTTTTATCTTACAAGAGATAAAAGGAGAGAGAAGCAAGCAGAGAGATGGGGACCTCCCACCACCAAGAATGAAGAGCTGGGAGTGGAGCATATACTTTGAACTGGGAGTCCCTGCACTGAGAAACTCCTAGACCCAGGGGAAGATTGATGACAAGGACCTTCCCCCAGAACCAACAGAGAGAGAAAGCCTTCCCCTGGAGCTGCCGCCCTGAATTTGGACTTCTAGCTTCTTAGACTGTGAGAGAGTAAATTTCTGTTTGTTAAAGCCATCCACTTGAGGTGTTTCTGGTATAGCAGCACTAGATAACTAAGACACCACCCTTTCCACCACTGGAAATAGTGTTAAACCCTAATTTACATAGACCAGGTGTTGATGAGTTTCATGGTGTTCAGAGGTAAAGAGACACTTTTAAGTAAGTGTTGTGAGTTTTGCTTTTATTTTTCATATCTTCCACTTATTCATATCCTGCCTTTAGGAACCTATAAGCTAAGACAGATGAAACTAACATGTACAAATGTAAAGAAAACATATAGATAACTAAACAGACATGTAGATAACTAAACAAACATTGAACAAAGGTAGACTTAACATTAACTCTACACAAGTAAAAAGTGTTTGTTGTCATTAGGTGCTGTTGGGTTGGTTCTGACTCATAACAACCCTGTGTACAACAGAGTGAAACACTGCCCAGTCCTGCTCAGTCCTCACTGTTGTTGTTATGCTTGAGCCCATTGTTGCAGCCACTGTCAATCCATCTTGTTGAGGGTCTTCCTCTTTTTCGCTGACTCTCTACTTTACCAAGCATGATGTCCTTCTCCAGGGACTGATCCCTCCTGATAACATGTCCAAAGTATGTGAGGTGTAGTCTCGCCATCGTTGCTTCTAAGGGGCATTCTGGTTGTACTTCTTTCAAGACAGATTTGTTCTTTCTTTTAGTAGTCCATGGTATATTCAATATTCTTCACCAACACCACAGTTCAAAGGCATCAGTTCTTCTTTGGTCTTCCTTATTCATCATCCAGCTTTTGCATGCATATGAGACGATTGAAAACACCATGGCTTGGGTCAGGTGCACCTTAGTCTTCAAGGTGACCTCTTTGCTTTTCAACACTTTAAAGAAGTCTTTTGCAGCAGATTTGCCCAATGCAGTGTGTCTTTTGATTTCTTGACTGCTGCTTCCATGGGCGTTGATTGTGGATCCAAGTAAAATGAAATCCTTGACAACTTCAATCTTTTCTCCGTTTATCATGATATTACTTACTGGTCCAGTTGTGAGGATTTTTATTTTCTTCATGTTGAGGTGTAATCCATACTGAAGGCTGTGGTCTTTAACTTCATCAGTAAGTGCTTCAAGTCCTCTTTACTTTCAGCAAGCAAGGTTGTGTCATCTGCATAATACAGGTTGTTAATGAGTCTTCCTCCAATCCTGATGCCCTGTTCTTCATATAGTCCAGCTTCTCGGATTATTTGCTCAGCATATAGATTGAATAGGTATGATGAAAGGATAGAACCCTGACACACACCTTTCCTGACTTTAAACCAGGCAGTATCCCCTTGTTCTTCGTATTTGTGAAGTAATAAATGAGAGATTAACAGTTTCAGTTTGAAGTTGAGCTTGAGTGGATTGGTGGAAGTTGTTCCTTATTTTGAGGATCCTGAGAGAAACTCATAGTGAGGGAGGAGTATCTGGTAGAAAGCCTGGAATGGAAGTAGGCGCCGTCTGTTCTAGGCCATGTGTTTGATTTACCCTTCTGGGTAAGCAGTTCAGTTCCACTTTGCACTTGGCACTTGGGCAGTATTCTTGCCCCTTTGTTTTCCCCAGAGAAGTTGTGCAGTTCCTCAGAAGAAGATTCTTACGAAAAGCTGGGTTGGAGACATGCTAGGTGAGGGGATTGGGAGGCTAAGCAGAGGTTTATTGTTAATTGGTTTATTACTGGGATGTATTTATTTGAGCATTTTTGTTGATACTAATCTGGCAGCAGCTACATTGTACCAATCTCTACTCTTTTCTGACCTCAAGATTTCGTGAATTTCTGCTCTAATTTTGTGCCTTTTTCTACCCTTTCGCTGGGATGGTTGACCTAGTTTGAACAATGGCATGTATGAAGTATACACATATCATCATACAGTAAATTTTCTTTGCAGAAGTCAGATTTTCTACTATTCCACTGGCATGAGTGTGGGAATTGTGGCCTCTCTACTAATCATCATTTTTATAGTGTCCAAGTTTATGCCCAAGGTAAGTAGCAGAATCCTTATATGCAGTTAAGATGAGCTTGGATAGCTGAAGGACTGTTTGCCTGGATGTTGTTAGAACACTGAAAATTTGCACAATGACTGACAAGTTGCCCTACAAGATGTCCTATTCTTTCTTTGATTCAGAAAGATACTTTCTACCATGTAACTTGGAGCCTGATTACATATAAACTCTTCTTTTTTATATAAAGTCCTATGCTCAGTGAGGATTAAAGTTTCCTTCCTGTTAATTACATAGCCAGGCTTTGAAGTTATTTAGCATCTCATCTTCCCAGTGTTCCTTGCAGACGGTACCATTTTAAATATAAAGGGTCTCTTTTTAAGAGATGTGTTTTTTGTGCACTTTGAGTGGGCTGAATTTTTTTTTAAATGATTGTTCCATTTTGCTTCTCTAATGTGTGGAAAGCCTGTTGTAACTTTTTGCTTTCACTTCTACCTTCTGTCCTAGAAAAGTCCCATTTACGTCATCCTGGTGGGAGGCTGGTCCTTTTCTCTGTACCTCATTCAGCTAGTTTTTAAAAATTTACAAGAGATCTGGAGGTGTTACTGGCAGTATCTTTTGAGTAAGTGTTGTCAGTTTTGCTGTTGCTTTTCATGTGTTTATAGGCTGTTTTAGCTCATTTGGTAATGAAAAGACTGTTGTCTGCTTATAGGAGTTAATAGTCCATGTGATTTTATTAACTTTTAAAATTGAAAGTTCTTCATGTGTTTCTAACTTGTCTACTTTTCGCCTCTTAAAATGATGCTGCTGGGGATAAGACTTTAATTTGTTGGTATTTATAAATGCACCTCTGCACAGGAGACTTCTTTCTGGAAGGCTGTAGATGATTTTATTAATGTCATATTTTAAACACAGTTGGGGGACCTTAAGAAGTAAAGGACTCAGTGGATCTTATCTACAGATTGAGAACCCTTTGGTCATACAGATAGTAACCCTTGATTATATCCTTTGAGGGGTGATTAATCTGTATATCCTATATTGGTGTTTTATTACTATTCCAGAGTTGTTCAAGATGTATCTTTATGTTCCATTTGAACCAAATAAATTTGGGATGACAGAAAGGATAGAAATTTACAGATATAAATGTATTCTAATAATGAAAAAGGTATGAATAATTGAGTAAAGGTCTTGCTTGATTTCCTGGTTAAATAGATGCTATACAGTGAATATACTGCTAACCCCCCCCACCCCACCCCACCACACACAAAGAAATTACTTTTACCAGGTATAGAGGAAGAGGAATGACTTTTGATGACTCTTTTCATAGGCTACGTCTTCACAGTTGGATTCATGAGTTTTGCAGTGTGTTACAAGTATGGGCCCTTGGAGAATGAACGAAGTATCAACCTGCTGACCTGGGCCTTGCAGCTGATGGGCCTGTGTCTCATGTATTCTGGCATCCAGATACCGCACATTGCCTTTGCCATTATCATCACTGCACTGTGTACCAAGAACCTGGAATATCCTATTCAGTGGCTGTACATCACCTACAGGTGACTGAAAGGCAGTGTATCTTTGTATTGACATATGCAATATGGGATGCAGTTGCAGCGAAAGGATACGGAGGTGTAAACCTGGGAGCCTCTTTGTTCATGAAGACTTATTGTATTACGCTTCTGCTTTTGTTTCTGAGTCAAATGTTTTAGCACTCTCTCTAGACGTATTTTCTAGTTAGTTTATATGAAATAAAAGCATCCAGTAAAATGTTATGTGTTTCTGTGACCACTAGGTGGTTCAGATTATAACACTTCATACCACATGCCCCAGGTCCCCTGGTTTCAGTTTATTTCACATTGGTGATCAGGGTGTCTGGGAGTCTGAGTCTTATTTTAAGATGTAACTTGTAGCATGTTATCACCTTGCATTGTGAAAATGGAATGGTCATAGGTTATGAGGTTATCAGTGGTTCTTCTACTAGAGGCAGTCAAGGTGATGCCTTCAGTTTGGGGAACCCAGTCCGTGGACCACAATCTTACACCATCATTTTCTTGTTGTTTTTCCATTTATTGGAAACTAAATAAATTTTTTTAAAAGTTGTTGTAGTTTAAATGAAGTTTACATTTCACGTTAGTCTCCCATACAAAAATTTATACATACGATGTTATGTGACCCTAATTGCTCTCCCCATACTGCGACAGCATATTCCTCCTTTCCACCCCGATTCTCCACGTCCATTCAACCAGCTCTTAACCCTCTCTGCCTTCCCATCTTACCTCCAGACAGAAGCTGCTCGTTTAGTCTCTTGTATCTACTTGAGTTAAGAGACATACTCCTCACAAGTATCACTTTACATCCCACAGTCCAGTCCAGTCCCTGTCTGAAGAGTTGGTCTCAGAAATTCTGGGCTGATAGAGAATCCAGGGGCCATGCTTTCTGGGGTTCCTCCAGTCTCAGTCAGACCATTAAGTCTGGTCTTCCTAGAATTTGAGTTCTGCACCCCACCTTTCTCCTGCTCCATCTGGGACTCTCTGTTGTGTTCCCTGTCAGGGTGGTCATTGGTGGTAGCCGGGCACCATCTAGTTCTTCTGGTCTCAGGCTGATGAAGTCTCTGGTTTATGTGGCCCTTTCTGTCTCTTAGGCTAATACTTTCCTTGTGTCTTTGGTGTTCTTCATTCTCCTTTACTCCAGGTTAAATAAATATTTTATCATTTGTTGGAAAACAAGGGGATTTATTCACAGTAAATAATATTGACTCTCATGACTAGTCACTCATTGTCTAACTTGCCAAGAGTCCATTATAACTAAAGATGTCTTTGGAAGAACGGTAAGGGTGTAATGACTCTTAATGTTCAGCCGTCTGCTCTATGTTTAGCTCACTGAAGGGAGCTAGAGGTAAGGATGGGTATAGATTACTGATTAATGATTCATGATATTATTTTGATGAGCACAGAAAGATGTGTAAGGCAACAGAAAAGCCTCTCCCCCCTCGCCTTCTGACAGAAGAAGAGTATCGGATACAAGGAGAGGTGGAGACCCAAAAGGCTTTACAGGAACTTCGAGGATTTTGTAGGAGCCCAGACTGCTCTGCTTGGAAGACTATTTCTCGAATCCAGTCTCCAAAAAGGTAAACTCTTGGCCAAATATGCCAAGCATTTATAAGGGTAATTGACCTACAGTTCTAACAGAGATCATACTTCTAGATAATCACTTTGTATGTGTGGCCTTTGTTTTCCTGTTAACCTGGGAATAGTCAAGAGAAAGGTAAGTATATCGTCATATGTTTAGCTGTAGCCTGTTTCCTCAAGTCTTAAGGAACCATTGACTCCAGCTTTGATGGTAGCATTGAGAGGGGAAGACTCCCATACCATGTTAAGTTTCTCCTCGATAGTTTTCATTACTCTCTGAGTGTGTATGTTGTTTTTTTTTTTTTCATTTTTAGTTGGGAGCAGCTGTACAGTGAGTATGTGAAGCTTCAATTTCGAATCCTGATGGCATAAACTTTATAGGGCTATAAACACTAATAAACGTGTAAAGTCCCTTAATCTTCTCTTATCAGGATTATAGATGGCTAATGGAACTTCAGCACTTCCATGACTAAAAAGGATAGTCTTGTGCCTGTTAAACAGGATGGAGTTGTAAGAGATGTTGTCCTATGACCCCAGCTTTACTTTTCTCCATATTTCTTACTTTAGTCCTTGAGCAAGGACAGGAATGTTGGCTAGACTCAATAATAGTTTGAGCTGTGAGCATATCAGGGGTATCAATTTGTTCTTATTTTGAAAGAAAGAACACAGGGCAGGTTCCTAATGAGTATTATTTTCTCTTCCAGATTTGCTGACTTTGTGGAAGGCTCCTACCACCTCACACCAAATGAGGTTTCTGTCCATGAGCAGGAGTATGGATTAGGGAGCATTCTTATCCAGAATGAATTCTATGAGGACACATCCTCTGAGGAGGAGAACTCAGATCCTTGCTGCCCCTCTATCACACAAAACAACTTGCTGGCTTAGGTGGTACTCAGTTATTTGTATGTGGACTGACTTGATATCTGGGTGGTCCGTGTTGCATATGTTGTGAAATTGCTTCTCACCCCTTTGAAATAGGGTGAGATAGTGCAGAAATTCTCCTACTGAAGTTAGAGGCTTGCGTAGGCCTCCCTCTGGAACTGGCCTAGGTGGTCTCTGTGGGATCCCTGGGGAAGGAGGGTGAGTAAGGTAATGAATGCTGCCAGCAGTTTGCTTCCCATTGGTTGAACTGTCAGTCCACTTTTATGTTCCGAAAGAAATTGATGGCTGGAATGCCATGCATAGGTAGCATGGTGTTCTGGTGCCTCTTGGAAAGTTGATTGAGTTGTGGCATTTCTGCCTGTATTTTCCCAATAGGATAATTTAAACATTTGTGGCATCTTTTGACTGTGGCTGGCCCTCAGGAGTGAGATCAGTTATAAGTGTAGTAATGCTTTCAGACTATAGGCTGCATCTTCCATAGAGAAATCCACAAATCTGAGCATCTTTGACTTCTTTTATTTCAGTGATTTTAGAATAATCCTTGATTTAACACTTTTTAGAGAAAGATGAATTTTTTCGTGTCTTGTTTTTGAAACGTATTTTTAATAATGTCACAAGCTCATGTTGCAGAACTAGCAAGCGCCCCAGAGTGACAAAGCCCACCAACGCATAAAATCCATTGCCATTGAGTTGATTCTGACTCATAGCAACCCTATAGGACAGAGTAGAACCGCCCCATAGGGCTGGTGGATTTGACTGCAGCCGAGCTCTTAACCACTGCCACCAGGGCTCCAACAAAGCCCGCAGACTCCTACACATTTATTAACATGAATTTTCCTTTAAAGCCCCAGAAGTTGTTGTGGTTGGTTCAGCTTCGAATTAGTTCTCAAACATACACTATTCTGAGTTCTGCTTGCCTTCAGAGGGATCATGTCTGTAGGTCTTCTTAGGCAAGGTCTGTTGGGCTTTTTATTATATTCAACTTTTAATTCCATCTTAAAAATACATTTGCACTCTTCCCTTACCCTTCCTCCTCAGTTACCTGACTTCCTGCTTCCCTTTGTGAGGTGTCCGTTAGGTGAGGACCTATGAAGTGTGTACAATTGTTTGTTTTGTTTCTTATGCCCTCTTTTTCTTGGTTTATGGCATTATTCATGCCACCTAGGAGAAGTGATCTTATTTTGGGGATTTAAATACTTTTTACAGGTTCTCTGTTTTTCCTGTCAATGGGTTGTATATCTTTTGGTTACTATGGAATCAAGAAACTATTTCCTTTTCCTTTCCCTTTCTTTGTGTGTTTACTCATTCTGCCCATTCCTTACAGCCTTTCCTCACCAAAAAAAAAAAAAAAAACCTGGCTAATTTGTAAGCCCTGAAACTATCTGGAAAGTTTCTTGATACACAAATTGTAGCTTTGTGGCTGCCACAGTTTGCATTGCCAGGAAATAGGCCTTCAGGTAGTGTTCATGCCTCTGGATGCTCATTCAGCCATCAGGGTCCAGGATTGGACACATTTTTCCATAACCTTATTATACTTATTTGCAGTTTTATTTCTGACCAGTGATTCATGCCACCTTTCATTATAGTAACATTAGTTTCAGGTTCCTTTGCCATTGGCGAGTGCCCTTATAAACCAGCAACGTCTTTTATGAGGGAGCAAATTCCCAAGTGTCCGTCTTTTCTTGGTTATTTCTCTGTGATCTTCATCCTTGTATTTTGAGAAAAGCTGTAATTGCTTTAGCCATTAAGATAGACACTCATAACAAGAGCACAGCATCAGACTTCCTGGCTTACCACGATCATGGGGAAGGCAGATAGTTTTTTTTAAAAAGCTTTAGTGACTCCTTCAGACCAGCCATTTAGCAGATAATTTTGAATGGCCCTGGATTCCATTGCTGATTTCCAAAATGTCAACTCTGAGACTCCTCTCCAGGAAGCCAGTTGATTATTTCCACCAGTGTTTCCCACAGCTTTAAACTATCCTAAAATGACAACTACCTCAGTTGGCACAAAGTAAAAAGTGAAAAATGAGCCGTATTTGGGCAGATGCTGTGGGGTAAAGTTATAGGGTAAAGGGAGCTTTATATTGGGAAACCTTGATGCGTTTATGAATTGTGTACATGGTAAAATTTTATCCCTCTGTGAAGTACTGTTAAACCTCTGAGATATACTATTTTTGCCTTATTTATAGAAACTGAGACCTAGCGTATTTGTGCAAAAATTGTGTTGAAAAAATAATTCAGCTATACAGGTGGTCTCAGGACTCCCTGGGGACTTCGGTGCCTTCCCCAAAATAGCTGCTTAGGGTGGTAGCTGGCCTGCAGGGTGACTTTTCCTACCTTATGTCTTTATTTTAGTGATCAAAGATTGTGAAATAGGGAAGATTCTCCTCTTTTTCTGTTCACTAAAACTTGTAAAATATAGTTTCCGTTCAAAACCAAATTTTTCACTGTGTTTGAATTTGGGATGAGTAAAAGCCAACTCAGTTTATTATTCCCTGTCTGGTTGTTGGAGACCTGAGCTGTGGGCAGTAGAGATGACAGTTGGTCCTTCAGCATCAGAGCTGCTCTCAGACAGTGAAGGACAGTGCCACTTTGGTGTGCTGCGTGTCCTTGCCCTGCCTGCCTGTATGGCTCTGCCCCAGATGCTTCAGAGCCTCCGTGTGCCCGGAGATTGCTTGACTCTGTCAACCCTCTTGAGAAGCTGCTCTTGTCTCCCTCTTGGCCACTTAGTCTGCTAGCTCAGTCAGTACTTGAAGACCCCATTTAATTTTCTCTGGCAGTTACAGCTCTTGCAATTTCAGCATAGTCTCGTCCCCTCCCAGACCAATTTCACCAAGAAGGATTGAAGGGATAACTATGGGGCAAGCTGGCCATTGGAGCCACATCTGCTGCCATGTCAGCGTCTTGCTCAGCAAATATCAAGCTGTAAATCGGCCCTAGGGCTCAGGGTCTCATCGGCATTGGAAATCTGTCCCCTCTAATGGCATGACCAAGTTGTGTAGAGCATGACTCCCATTAATGGGGATATGAGAGGCAAATGACCTAAAACATTTCCCCTTCACTTTCCCACTCAGATTGCTTTCATGAGACCAAAGGAACACAGTGATCAAAAACAAGGAAAATTTAGCAACTTTGATGCATGCTGATAAATTTCTGTTGGCCATTCCATCCCACCAAAACGATTTTATTTCTTCTCCAAAATTCATCTTTATGTCTGTTAAGGAGATTTTGCTGATGATAGCTTTTTGGTCCCAATGTTCTATTTTGTGCCAATATATCCCATTCTGGGGCCCAGCCTTCTCTTCATTGATTGTATTCCCTTTACCCCAGTCCCCACTTGGCATATATGATAGAGGTTTGATGAATGCAAGGACCCAGATAGGCCAGATTGTCCTCCCAGGCCCTGCTACCCATAAAAGCCTTGGGAATGGATTACACAGTTGCCGTTAATCTTTTTGTCGTTGTTCCAGAAAAAAGATGGGCTCAGATGGATGCCTGCGTAAAAATGGTTCCTAGCTGTTTGCTTATAACTTTTCTCTGAATTGAGTAGCGAAAGTTGAAGGAGGAAAGGAAATTAAATGTCCTTCTAGTATTCATTTGGACTCAGGTCTGACCTATGAGATAATAACCTATATCGAAATGCCAAGAAGTTTATCTGAACCAAGGAGAGGAGAGTCTGACAGATTTATTGTGCCTCCGTGTTCTGTAGGCACTGAACCCAAGTAATAAGCATGTAAAATAGCCATTGCACAAGGCAAATACTCCCAAACCTCTTCTGTCTCAGTATAGCAGAAATTGATTATAATTTTTGGGGGAAGCTATGCAGTTGCCGTGACCCAGTGGTGTCTTTGGTGACTTAGCTTATGGATTCAGGTTACTATTGAACTGATTTCTAGATGGCTACTACCTTGCAAAGGGTGTTTGGTGCCTTAGGTGATGGGAGCCAGAGCCTGCTGGGAATAAGCAACGGAGACTCACACCAATGTCAACGCACAGCTTTAGCAGGGGATGGGAATGGTTACACAACCTCCCAGAATGTGGGGCTTTGGACTCACACCCCCTGCCTATGTGTTTCGTCTTCCTCTTCACACTCTGGATAACTTAAAAATGGTGAAATCACCTTCTCTGAACTTTCCTACAGCATGAGAAGCAGTCTTACCATGTTAACTAATAGATAGCTCATAATGTGAATATTAGAACTGTTACAGCACTTCCCTCAGTTTTCCATGCTTCTAGAATTCATGGTGAAATAGCAGGGATAAGGAATTCCTGGGTAAGTTTTAGCCTATGGTAATGCCTTAGTGTTATTAAAAAAAGAAAAAAGATTTGTGTCATCGTGATTTATATTTAAAATAAATATTCGTGAATGTTTGAAAGGAACAAAATTATCAGGGATGGCTCTTTGCCATGGGTCTCATTTTCACGTACTTTTCTGTAAAAAAAAAAAAAAAGATGTCTTATTGTATATTTTTTCATTTTTATTGTATAGTTTGTAAGTAATCCCAATTTTAATAAAGTTTTATAGACCATATAGTGGCCTCTCTTGATGACCATGTACTTTTCTTGTTTGCATCTCTTGTCTTCAGGTAATCAGCAATAGCTCCTCACTTTCATCTTTCTAATGAGAGGGTTTCTTTTTTTCTTAAGCCCCCCTCCTCCATCGCAGGTCTGTACTGGTTGACTTCCATCCTTGGACTGGGTGATTTCCCAGGATGTCAGATATCTAAGGGCTGTTCTCCCAGGAGTAGAAGATAGTACCACCGTGCTGTCTCATAGGAAAACATACAAAGTATGTTTTATTCCAGGGAACTACTTTGATTGTGCTTTAGTTTGTTGTTGATTTTTGGCATAAAGAAACCCCAGTTGGCATAACTGGTTAAACGCTTGACTACTAACCGAAAGCTTGGCAGTTCCAGCCAACCAAGCGGCGCCTCAGAACACAGGCCTGGCAATCTGCTTCTGAAAGTCAACCTTGAGAACCCTATGGAGTATTTCCACTCTTTACACGTGGTGTCTCCACTGAGTCAAAATTGACTTGACAGCAACTAACAACAATATCTCCTTTGTGTCTCCATAAGCGTTTACCAGTTGTGGGTGAGGTCTGTGGATCCAGTTGTGGGATGCCTGCCAAGAGCTTTGTGTGAGGTGGAAGAGGGAGCAGGGCTGCAGTGAGCACTAGGGGCCATAGAATAAAAACCTCAGTTACATCTAGGCCTAGCTTCTGCAGTAGGAGTCTAGTACCTTCCATTTTCTTTCATCCATTGACTGTTTTCTTTGCTCTGGGAATCCTTCATAGCATTTGCATTAATTATGTACCTGTCTCCTCAGTTACTTAGACTGCAGGGAAATCCATTGTCCGTTTTTTAAAGACAGAATGTCAGAGAGAGGAAGAAAACAGAATGTAGACCGTATGTAAATTTATGTAGATTAATGCAGACTAATGACAACATCTCTCTCTAGCTATCACTAGGTATATGAGGGACATAGGTGATTGTTAATGGTTGAATTAATAAAAAAGCTACCTCATTAGGTTTTAGTGAGGATTTAAAAAGATAAGGCATGTAAAAATCTCTAAACGAGCATAGGGATAATCTGGTGATCTTGCTAAAATGGTGGATTCTTATTTGGTAAATCTGGGGTGGGACCCAAGGCCCCACATGTTTAATAAGTTCCCAGGGATTTGGATCTGCTGTTTGAATAGCAAGGATGTAAGGCACTTAGCTTGGTGCTTGACAGTAAGCACTTGATAAATGTTATTTGACACACAAAATTTATGAAAGCCAGGTCTTTACCGCCTAATGTCTTTTCCACCATATCTGAAAACTATTTTGTATTGTGTAACGTCTTTTAAAAACTAGATACCCTTGGGAGAGTTAATGAGTGCGAATTAGTTTAATCGGATTACTGCCCTCCCAGCCCGGCTTCCATTCCTAGCCAGTGCACCTCATGAACAGCCACCACCCCATCTGCCAGTGGAGGCAGTGTCAGTGCATGTTGCTGTGATGCTAAAGAGGTTTCACCAGAGCTTCCAGATGAAAACGGACTAGGAATAAGGGCCTGGTGATCTGCTTCAAAAAAATCAGCCATTGAAAACCCTATGGATCACGGCAGTCTGATCTGCAACCGCTCATGAGGATGGCGAAGGACTGGGCAGCATTTTGTTCCGTTGTGCGTGGGGTCACCATGAGTCGGGGGCCGACTCGACAGCAGCTAATAACAACAAACCCCTGTCAGAAATCAGTACTAAAGGATTTGGATTTTTTTTGATAAGCTTTATTGGAGTATACTGTATACACAATAAAATTCACGAATTTTAAGTTTACAATTTTGCTGAGTTTTGGCAAATGGATAC